ATAACTTCAATGTAAGGCTGTTCCCTACTAGTGATCCCAGCACTGCTGTTGATGTTTCTGCTTTCTGACCCCTGCTGTTTTCTGTTGCAGCTCCTGGCAGACTGCCTGACCATTGTTGTTGCTAGTCAGATGGGTGCAGCCTTCACCCCCCATGTCCATGCAGCTTTCCAGAAGTTCCTGGATGTAGTGGTGGCCTCCCTGAGAAAGCAGTACTACTAGACAGCCTCTTCTCCTGCAATTAGAGAATAAATAAATAAAACAGCATTTCTTTTTGGGGGAAAAAAGTGTCTCTCTACTCTATACTCTACTCTCTGGCTATAAATATGTGCATCTATTATCTTTAATCCTTATTAGTTGTAAAATATGATTTGGTTTTAAACATTTAAAATACATTTAGAAGAGCTTTAAGGGGAAAAAAGGTGTCTAAGGGGGAAATTTAACTATTTAAAAAGCAATATTTAAAATATGAATTATGACTGAAATTAGTAATATTTATCTAGTAATATTAGTAACATATTAGTAGTAATATTTATCTGCATCTTAAGTAATGATCTCTTTCTCGTCTCTGTGCTTAAAACCCTTACTATATGGCTGTAAAGAAAGAAATCTTTTGTATTTGATACAGAATAACTTTTCTTTTAAACAACTCTTATTAAAAAGTCCTATTGAATTACAGATTGAACTTTTAAGTCTATACATAAAAACCCAGCTTCTGACCATTCTTTAGATAAATTGAGGCTGAGTTAGAAACAGCTGCCTATGAAGTCCCATGTACTAGGTCTTTAGACTACCTTTTCCACCAAATGTAAAAAAACAAAACAAAAAACCCCCAAAAGAAAATAATATTATCCTTATTGTAAAATATTTTAGGAGCATACTTTAACTGTCTCTTTATAAATATTAAATGTATCATATAATTTTGGAGAATTTAGACTGCTGATATCAGTAAACTATATTTTTGATAGATATTTGATCAATGGAAAAAAAAAAACTATTCTGATTTAATTATTTCAGATAGGCCACAGTTCCTCTTGAAGTTGGAAACTAGTGTAATTTTTGGTATAACCAGAATATTTTGCTCATACATGACAATTATTCTATATTAAGCAACTGTAGAAATGTTGTATCATCTTCATTAGGAATAGTACATATTTTGAATATAGGTCAGAAAAAACATTTTACCCTAATTTAGAAAAAACAATGTTGTGTGACCAAGACCATAAGGTTGTGATGTCAAACAATGCATAAGTGTTCCAGCATGGATATAGATGCTAAAAAGACTGAAGACTTTTCTGGTCATACTGACCACTGTGGACTAGTTTACTCTAGAACAAACATAATACTGTGATAACGGAACCATGTGGCCCAAATCATCATGGGACAGATGAAGGCTCAAATTAAATCTTTAACTTTTGTCTTAAGCTACAAGTGTATGCATAAGGAGATATTAACATTTACCATTTTGTTTGCAGATTTTTTATTTTTCGCAGGAACATAAAACCCCAAAGTCTAAATTAAAGAGCAGATGAACCAACAACACCACAATCATCATTTGAGAAAATTTCTTGGATGATGGCACACTTTACGTCTGTCCATTCCATCATTTCGGCCTTTTGCTGGTTCTAGTTTTGTTCCATTTGCTAGTTGTTGGTCAGCAGACTTGTTCAGCTCCATTCCAACAGTTGGAGGGGGTACTTTGACAGGATGACAGATAAAGGTTTATTTATCTCACCTTCAGGGTGAGATAAGTAGAGAGTTTGAGCTCCCAGGGGGTACCTAGGAAACTTAATGTAAGGAGCTACTTATATGTGCTAACTATAAGATAACTTATCCAGGATGGTCAAGAAATATGGCTCAAAGCTGTTTTTTTTTTTTGTTGTTGTTGCTTTTTTTGTCATTGCTTTGTTGTTCCTGACAGTTTTATTGGTTTTATACCTTGTTGCAGCAAATGGTTTCAAAGCTCTGACCACATTGCATACAATTAAACTCATCTAATAACTAAACTTTTTAACAAGCATCTTATTCTAGTGGTTTTGCAACAACATCTGATGTAATGTAAGTTAATTAAAATATAGGTGAAATTTTAAGATTCAAAACAAAGTATCTCTAATTATTTGGCACAAAACACAAGAACAATGGACACAGAACAACAGAAAACCAAGCATCTAAAACAAAAACATAAATGTCTTTAGAACAACATTTGGTTGTGTAATGTCTGGAGAGAATCTGGAGACCTGATAATTCAGCCGACAAATAAAGTAAGAGTTTACTTTTAAAATAAAAATGGTGTTGCAGTAACAGGACTCACTGTGTGGAGGAGATCAGGGTCGGCAGCTGAGAGCAGTTCAGTGGTTTCGAAGGTGCACTGAATGAAAGCCAGCAGGAGTGGACTGGACAGCCCACCATGATTAGTTATATTTGACTTTTCTTTTTAAACACAGTATAGCAGAGGATATATGCACACATAGAGAGTTTAAAAAGAGAGGATATACCAAATGAAATTAAACAAATAAAAACAAAAAAATAAAGATAAAAAGGCTACTGTAACTTTTACTGATATACAAAATAGGTTATTCACTCAGAAAAAACCCCTTTTGAAAATTATTTTTCAAAAAAACATACCATTCCTTCATTATATATACCTCTTAATTTTAAAATTACTTTAAAAAAAAACAAACAAAGGTCATCAAAGAGCTGCACACACAACTGAAAGCAGCAGTAAAATTAAAATAGAATAGGCAAATACAGGCAAATACAGATATATAAAAATCTTTAACAGCTAATAAGAACACTGAAGCTCCCAGGTTTCTGGTAAAGGACCCAAGTTTGAGATGAAGGAGCCAATCACCCTGCCCAGGAGTATGAGGGGAATTGCTGTTTTTGGGTCAGGGGTCACGTTTAGGACTATGTTGTGAACTGAGTTTAGGTTAAGGTTGGGGCTTGTGGATGAACCCGTAATGGTTAGGGTATGGGTCAAGGTTAGGCTGTATAAATTAAAAGAAGTCAATGAAAAGGCCCCGCAAAGATAGTGAGACAAGTTTGTGTGTATGCCTATGGGTGTGCGGGTGGGTGTGCATTGGAACATATGTTTTTTTAGCAGGACAGTGAATACACATCACGCTAAAAGGACATTTTGCATTAACCGGATATGAGCAGCTTCCAGCTAATTTCAACAAAAATCTAAAGTTTTAGAACGGTTTCTATTGGTCCATTAAACACAAAAATGCACATGAAGATATGTCTATCTAATACACATAAACCCGATTGTGTGAGTATAGTATAGCTTCTCAGTAATAAGCTGAATATTTTCGATCTGCACGCTTATTGTTGTCTTGGTCTTCCTTTCTTTCAACTGAAAACTCTAGATAGCAACTTTTTAAGAAGCCTGTAAAACTTTAGGTTGTCTTGAATGTTTGTTTTTGTTTTTTTTTCTCAAACCTGTCTTCGCTTCAGAATGACATACTTGACTTATGTTGATTAAATTGTATTAAACAAAAACATTTTATGGATTTAACATTTATTCACTGTACATTAGAGATTATGCAATTAGCCAAACAATTTTAAACTGAGTTTTGCTTGCTTTTTTTTTTTTGGTGTTTATAATTTTGCATAATTAGTTCTTAATATTACTTTATTTTTATAACCCATGATATATAAATATATATGAAATATATATCCTTACACCCTTCTGTGTTGATTTTAGGAATCATAAATTTGCTATGAAGGTGTTTCTGCTTTTGAAGGTGAGATGAGTTGAAAAAAAAAAAAGAAGTCACAGCCTATATTGACAATTATTTTTTTTATTTAATTTAGTCAGCCAACCTCTTAAGTGCAAAGGTGGTGTAACATTTTTCTCTTGGGTGACATGCAGTTTGTAATGCAGCCGATCCTCCTGAATGTCTGGATCTTAGCGGTATTTCTCAGACAAAGCCAAGGCCAGATTCTGCAGGAACTTGTCGACAGAGACATGAACCTCTGGGGTGAAATCAGCTGGGAAGTACATGGCCAGCACCAGGATGATGTTGTGAGACAGGATCTGTTGCAAAAGAAACAAACACTGCATTTCACTGGGAGAATCCTGCTTGTCCATTAAACTTTTGAAATATTGACATTGCACATACATGTAGAGCAAGCTTTGACATTTTCTTCATGGTGCTCCACACAATGTAATTTTGCTTACCCTGAAGTTAGCAGGGTCCACTCTGAGCTTGAAGGCATGCAGCTCACTGAGCTTGGCAAGACCACCAGTCAGGTCATCGATCTTTGAGACGGCATCCCCAACAGCTCCCATGATGGTGGCACCATGCTTCCTCACCTGTGCAGAGTCAGGGCTCAGATCAGACCAGTGTGAAAAGTAGGTCTTGGTTTGCGGGTATGAAGTCAGCATCCTAGAGGTCACACATAGAAATGTCAGTTCAGATTTAAAAAATCAAAGGTTAAACATGTAACTCTTAAAAATAAAGGAAGATGAAAAGAGAGAAAACCCACCTGCCAAGAGCCTCGGCCCCAATCTCAGCCGATTTAGGGGCACATTTCTCCCAGAAAGCTTTCACCACGGTCTTGTCCTTTCCGGAGAGACTCATTTCTGCCCTTTTCAGTTTTCTCAGCTGAATGGAAAAAAACTGCTAGGAAATTTCTGGTGAAGACACTTTATAACTGACTATGTTTTATATTTGTCAAACCGCACCACGCCCTTTATCAAAACCAGACCCCACCTCTTTGGCAGAAATTACCAGAAGTTTCTTTAATTCATGAGATAAAAGATAACCACTCCCTGTCCACAAGAATATTTTTGTAGGTTTAAAAACTATATTGTGCATTACACTTAAAAAACAACAACAACATATATGACTTTAAAAGCAGGACAGATGAATAATTGCATAATATTTTTAATGAGGACTTTTTTTGCAGAAATTTACAGAAGGCATTTTAAAGAAAAGAAGGTGCTGCTTATATATCTAAAAAAACTTTTAACTACATATGACTCAGTTTGATTGACCGAAAGGAAACAACATCTATGATAAAGTAGTGTCAAGAAATTATATTAGCCAACATAGATGTTCAGCAAGCTGTTCATTTTGTAGACTACAATTTTGGAACGGAAAATAAAGATGGTGGATTTTTAAAATGACTAGTGTACTATCCTACAACTTTGCACAAGAATTATCACTATCAAATAAATAAAAAAATCCTTTGAACCATTTCATGGAAACTTGTATATATTCCCCTGTCTAGTTCCTTTAAACATTGCAAGGTAAAACTGTTTAAATGTGGGGAAACACTTTTTGCCTTACTGTCTCCAAACCGGAGACATTTCATTAAAAAAACTTTGCTGTAAACCTTTAAACCTATTTAGATATTTTATTTCCACTTATTTTCAATCCGTTAATTTTAACCTAAAAAGAAATGTAATCATGCATATGCTTGGTCAAGAATTTGAAATAATTTGAACCTATGAAAAGAATGTGAAGAATTAATCAAACAGCAGTGCAGTCTTTTCTGCACATTCAAGGTCATTTTAGTGGTTACTATTTCCTTTTAGCATAAAGGGCCTAACAGTTATTAGAGGGTTTGTACATTATTTACTTTAAGTCTTCCTTGCAGACATGCTGTTGAAGATTATTATGTCTTGTCTATAAATGTGTGGTTTGATATAAATGGGTGCGGCCATCTGAATTTAATGATAACTGTCACATTGAATCCTCCGGACCATGAGAGCGGCGGGTGAAGTTAGCACCTTATCGCTGTCATTTGAGCAAGCTCATTAATTGATAAATTTTTGATGTCTCATACTTTCTGTTCTGTGCATAGATGATGAGGAAAAATAAACATTTGTTATCAATAAAAGCACACTTTAAGTTTATTTGAAATTATCTATATATTATATTTACCTAATTAATACCATCTGAGGGAGCTGAGAAGCCCTTAATATTGTAAAACTTGTCACACAAAAAAGCCTTTATTAATGACATAGGCTTTGTTACTTTGAAAGTATGTTAATATTGAGCCAGCAGGCTTAAGGTTTAAAAACATAAATTTCTTAGTAGTGTAAGTGTAAGTGTAAGATGATTTGTCCTTTTGCTCAAATAGGTGTGTAAATTTGACATCAAACTGAGTCTAGTGTTCACAGAGCTGAACACTAGTCATCCATAAAATTAGATTTTTTTTTTTTTTTTTGGACATTTAACAAAACCCTTTAAAAGATTCTTTGGTATTCTGGAACTCAGTGCACATTTCCTTCTTTGACTAAAAGGAGCCAGGCCTTTTTATCATCTTTAAGTAGTTTTTACCAATAATCCTATAAGCTTGTTGAAGATCAGTCTGAAGTTTTCTGAAGTTCTTGCCTTTTTTTATTCAGACTTCTTTAGACTCAAGTCAGTTCCTGATTCATTTATCTATCCAACATTTGTTTTAAATACCTCTTTTAATCTAATTTAGAACAGCCTCAACACTTGAGTGTTTTAAGTCCTGTTCCCATTTTTACTGTTTGGCTTTTAAAACTGTGTTAGTTGTGAAGTCATTTGTGTCTTTTATTATATTATTTGGTTTTTAACCTATTTTTGATAATTGTTTTTATCACTTATTTCATTGTATTTCTTTTATGTTTATTTTAGTGTGCAGCAATTTGGAAACGTTTCTGTCAATAAAATGTTTGTAAAATAAAGGGGATTGGATAATTTACACATTGTCTTTCATTTTAAGTCATGTTCCTTTTGTCACCTTTTATATCTTCTTGTTTTTTACTTTTATGGATGTAATTTATTTATTTATGTAATTGACAGAAGGTTGTTACAGAAAAAGCACATTTGGTCTTTACACTATAATTTCCAATGATCTACTCTCTATTCCCTAGAAATGGAGGTGACAGTGGTGTCATACATGGTCATATTAGTGCAGAATAAATAAGAGATAAACATTATTTTAAAGAGTAAATGGAAAAAAGAGAAAACGTCCCCAACATAAATGGCTGAGAGATATACTTCTTTAAGTGCCATATTTAAGACAATAATTAATTTGATGACTCAAAAGCATTATTTATAGCAATAAAACTGTGGTAGTGTTAAAATTGAGTGAAGATTCAACACTGGTTTTAATTGTTCTGAAACAAAGTTATGGTCTTTAACTGGAGTGAACATAGTGAATTTAAAAAAGGCTCAACTGTTTGTTTGCTGCTGTAATCCAAAGTCTGATATTTAGATACTTTATATTTAGATACAACATTTTGCAGAAGATCTTCCATTTGCAGCTGGTACATTCAGGCATAAATGAGCAGCTTACCTCAGATTATATATTGGGGAAAACTAAAAGTGAGATTTCTTTCACAGTTCATGTGTGTCTGCCCTTTAAAGGAATCCTTTTAACCTGTTTGGTCTTACAGGTCCACTGGTGCCTTTCCAAAGAGGTTATTCAGCAAGAACTGTGGTACAACACTGATAGGTCGCCCTAATTTTCTATTTTTCTACAGTCAACCCCATATTCTTCACCCTATTAAGCTAATTTACTATATATAAATAAGTTGAATATAAGACAAATTGATTTTAGATTGCTTACTGTCATAACATATAAATACCTAGTAAACCACAATCCCAGTCCTTCACTATGACTGCTGTTATTTATGTTTTTAATTTTATAAAGGTAACACCTACATTAGAAGTTCCTTCTTTTGTTTCTTTTCTTCTGTTTTTTTTCCTTTAAAATATGTGTTGCCTCGCTTTATGCAAACAGAAGTGAATATGATTCTGTAGGTTTTTTTCAAAATCCAATCTCCTTACCCTTTGGGGAACTGTGCCATAAATATTGTTTCAAAACACACATGATTTAATGCTTCTTTTGCTAAAAATCTATTTTATATATCCAAAAAACCCCTGATAAGAGATTGTATTTCATCTATAAGAACACTATGAGAACAGTGTAAGTGAAACAAACAGACTGCTTTAGCAAATTTTGTACTAATGTATGTTTGCATCATTAAAAAGAATTGCAAAACATTAAAAAGTAAAAGGATATGCATTGAAAATGCATGTATTTGAAGTTAACATATATTTTAATCATTTACCAGCATATCAGCAAACTGACATTAAATTTTAGCTTTTTTATTTAATTTGTAAACAAATAGTGTAAATTTTCTTCTTATCAGCCTTTTCCAGAAAGCCCAGCTGTGATCATATCAAATTTGTCAAGGGTATAACCCTTCATGGCACTTTTATCCAATCAGACACTTTCTAAGCAGAGAGGAGTGGCATTGGAGAATTAATAAAAACCTCTAAGATTACTATCCACAAAAAGTCTGCGAGCCAAAACATTTTAATTTATTCTCTGTGGACTAAAGAAAAATACTTAATACATCACCATGGTCGAGTGGACAGATGCTGAGCGCAAGGCCATCTCAACTCTGTGGGGGCAGATCGATGTGGGGGAGATCGGACCCCAAGCTCTGATTAGGTGACCCCTTGAAACATTTTCATTCATTAATCGATATCCTTCATATTGTATAACACATTTATGATCTGTCTCTGAATTGAGTTTAACCTGTTTTTATATGGCATTAACCTTTACAATGTGTCCCTTAAATCAGGCTTCTGGTTGTGTACCCCTGGACTCAGAGACATTTTGGATCTTTTGGTAACCTGTCCACCTACGCTTCCATCGTTGGAAATGCCAAAGTGGCTCAACATGGAAAAACTGTGATGGGTGGACTGGAAACAGCTGTGAAGAATTTGGACAACATCAAGCAGGCCTATGCCAAGTTGAGTGTTATGCACTCTGAGAAGCTCCATGTAGATCCCGATAACTTCAGGGTATGTTGCAAACACTTAAGCTTCCTTGATGGAAAATCATATTTTTTATGCTTTAATCTCACCATCATAAAGTCTGCATCGCCATGATTTCACTACTTTTCTCATTCCAGACTCTTGCTGAATGCATCTCAGTGGTTGTGGCTGCTAAGTTTGGCCCCAGCGTTTTCACCCCTGGATTCCAGGAGGCCTGGCAAAAGTTCCTGGCTGTGGTGGTCGCTGCCCTGGGCAAACAGTACCACTGAGGAAATATAAATTACGCAACAGTCTTTGACATCCAACAGGTTTTGTGAAGTTTTAAGAATCCACTGTTTGCTGTTTTGAAGCTTTTGCAGACTCAAAATAAAAACAAATGAAAAAAAAAATCATAGCCTGAGTTCTTTTTAGAAAAGGTTACAATTATTATTCTCTCAAATGTTGAGTTATATTTCACTTATGTAACTGTTCATTTACAGAATACCAATAATAAAGAGATAATTTCTAAGTAATCGATTGAATATACTTTGATCAGTGATCAATTTTGTATAATACATTGGACAATGAAGATTATAAATGCTGCAGCTTTTTGCAATTTGATATAAAAGCGTGAGGCTGATAAATTAGTGAGTATTTAATATTTTTAGATGAAAAAATACTGCAAGGCAACATGAGTACATCATCCTCAAAATGCAGTAAAAACATGACGACATTTACTTTAAAAAGCACCAAATAAAAAAGGTATAATAAAATGTTATCAGGGAAAGCGCCATCTAGCGGAATTAATGCGATCTGCCCTGTGCAGATGCATTTGAACAAATCAGATTATGACTGAAAATCTTATGAATTCAACTCAGCCAATTAAAAAGGTGGCACTCGTATATTATGTCATTTTTAAAACATATGCGACATCATAAAGGACTTAATTGTGTTTTTTTTTTTAGGATTTTTGACATAGAATTAAGGCTTGTTTTTATATCATGTTGTTATCATACATTGCTATGAATGTATAAGCCTAAAAAAAAAAATAATAATAATTTGTATGTTATTAATATAGTTTTTTTGGTACATGTAAAATGTATATTAATCGTTTTTCGATTAATATAAAGACATAGAAGCTATTAGTAGGGAAAGCTTCTGCGGGACGGAACACAAAACTGAGTTGATGTGTCCAGCCGAGCATTAATCAAAGTAACACATAACAGTGCCAAAAACAGCCCTATGAGAAACCCAATTCTCTGCAGGTTTTGAAGTTAACTGGGAAGTGCTATCGTTCTTCTTATTGTTTGTTTTTTCTAGTAGACATATAAGCTCATAAGAGCTGCAGCTAAATCACGCTAACGAAGACTTTTAGAATGCTAACATGATGCTAAGCCCATCGGCCGAGTCACCAGATGACAGAAACTCTCTGTACAGTCAGTCTCAGAACAACAGACATAAAAGCGGGGATAAAACCAGTCCGATCAGCGTCATACTGGTTAGTTCTGGGAGCAGAGGGAACAAACTTTTGTTTCGGTATCCATTCCAAAGAGCTGCTGAGTGCCCGTCTTCTCTCGCAGGTAGGCGCTGCGTTAACATGAACTTAGACAGGAGCTGATTTAAAACACATTCTACTGGTATTTCATGTAATTACACACCCAACAGAATGTCCCAGCCAGAGGAAGAGTTCAAACTTTTTAACTTAATTAATTAAAGTAACTTTATTGATTAGAAAAATATTCCATAACCAGAAAAACAACAGTTTTGGGAGGTTAGTCTAACAAAGGGAATGAAAGTATAGATGGAAATGCTAATTCAATATGAAAGTCGAAGTTCTGCACAATGAGATCATTTTTATAAAACAAAGAGAGATCATTCAAATGTGGGAGCCAATTAAGATTCCTTAGATCAGACAGGGAAAGGATCAGAGAAGCTGCAGGATGATAGAGTATGTTAAATAAAAATTCAATTCACCTTATTTATGTAACTTATATTGACAAAAAATGACACATCAACTACAGAAGGAGATAGTTCAGTTATATAAGGAGAATCAAAGTCAAATAAAAACATTTAAATTCTATCCTAGTTCTAAGACAATGTAGTAAAGTTCGGTTATTGTGCAAATTAGTAAATCATTTATATATATCTAAGGACCTCAAGCTGTGTAAATCGAATCAGTGACTGCAAGAAAGAGACTGCCTAAGTAATCTTCAAATGTAAAAGTTTATGAAAGGATGACCAACCTAACTTTAGTGTTGCACTTTGGCATCTGGAAGCATGACAATTTACTTCTGACAAACGAGACTAAAACAAAGATATTTTGCCCTAATTTATAGAACCACATTTATAAAGCACAAAAAAGAAATAAAAACAGCCTGAAGACCTTAAATTAAATGGAAAGCATAGCGAGGGAGGGATAATGACAAACTTTTTTTTATAGTCACAGGACCAAGGAACCTTCAAATCATTAATTCAACCTTTAATATCATTGTTAACCAAAGTAAACAGTCAGCCAGTATTACTGCTTCACTTTCACCTCAATCATGTTGAAGTTGCATAGATCTAAACCTAATAAAATAGTTCTAGTGCATGACGCCTAAAGGAAAATCCTCCAGTCATGTAAAACACTGATAGTCATACAGAAAATGACCATGGATTGTTTTCAGTTTATTGAATCATGAGCTGTGTGTCGTTTTTTTCTACAAATCAGCAGCCTGGTATGTGACATTGTGTTATTTTTTTGTGAGACTTTAATGAACACTTTTTGATGTTTTCTAAACTGAGATGAGAAAAACAGACTTGGGAAAAGTGGAAAAAAATATTTCTTACATCATCTTTTACATGGTTACAGTAACAATCCAGTATTGGATTAAAGAAAAAAATCTATGCTTTCCAGGCTGAAAATGCTGCAAAAATTAAGCCCCCATTTTGCAACAAACATTTGAACAAGAGGGAATAGATCTTACAATTGTTTTACACTAATACTTAAAACTGTCTTCCAGCAAAACAGCGTAACCCATATGCACTGAGCACAACTGGAGATGTTCTTGAAGATCTGGATGGAGACTCAAGGTAATTGTTTGTGTTTAATATAATTGAACAGAATTCACTCTTTAACCCTTAAAAAGAAACGTGTATAATCTGAAAGAAAGAAAGATTAGGCATTTTAAGCTGTCATACTTTTTTACCCAACCTGAAAAGGCAAAAAACTAAAAAAAGGAAAAAAACTACAAATATTGTTTCCAAATGTTACATTTTGGTCATTATCAATTTCTGTTGGAAATTAAAAAGCCATCATAGACATTTCGTCTCACACTTGTTACTGTACTTTAAATTATCTTAACATTCATATTTAAACTGAAGATTTTCTTACTTGAAAGTAAAATACATGTACCTATAGCATATTCCAGATTTGACCAGGATTTAGCTACCTCTGATTAATGATATGTTTTAATGATAGGCCATGGTTTAAACATAAAAGTTGATTACAACTTGGACATCAACATATATTTATCATAAACCAAACACATAAATCTTATAACTGTGTTTGTTTTATTAATTTTTTTTAAGCTGCCACCCTAGAAATGGGAATACTGGTAATTTTTTTGCCTTTTTAAGTTAGTTTGAATACTGTTATAAACATTCAGTTGATACAAATAAACTCTTTACTATACCTCTTGAATTTGTTTGAGGTATTTGATTTCAAACAGGCTTCTATTATTTTGTGCTTGAGGAATTCTTTTTTTTTTAATATTATTGATTATTTTAGAATAGAATAGAAAATCCCTTTATTGTCCCACAGTGGGGAAATTTGGGCATTACAGAAGCATCATATCATAGCAAAGTTGTCACACAAATGGGGACCTTAAAAAGTGTATACCAATAATCAATAAACAAATAAAATACCGTACTCTTTTACAATATAAATATTGTGTATCTGAAAAATAATCAATAAACAGCTGTGGACATTTTTACAGTAATGGATATGTGGAAAAATAGCATGTGGTTTATTTAGCATGTGATTTAAATGACTATGTAAAGAACTCTTAAACAACCAGGATGATGCATTTCTTCAAACACTGAACGATTTGAACCACAACTAACATTGTGATTGAAAATTACTGTTGAAATGATGTGTTTGTTAGGCTGCTTTATTTCAAGTGCAAGACAATCAATCTCTGTACAGCCATAATGTATTTATCCATTTGCATGAACATTTGCTTTACTGCCCAGAAATTATGACGCTTTTAGCTACCAAGATCACAAGGAGAGATGGGCACATGGTGATGTAAAAGTGAAAAGAAGAGAGAAGGGAAAATGGATTAACTGCAACTGATGTCCTGCTATTCTACAGTAACCTCAATATCAGTAAACTGATAATCGTTTAATATGAAACTCACCATATGTACTAGAGCGCCCATTATTGACAGCAGTTTGGATGTGTGTGAAATGTACCTAAATCAGCATACCTGCATTTTGACATCACAGTGTCTCATGTTTGTTTTGGTTGTTTTAATGTCCATTTTTTGCATTCAGCCCAACTGTGTGTTGCATTTTCCCTTTTGTTTGCTTTTTTTTTTGTTCTTCTGTTTTTTGGGGTCCAATTCCCATTTCAGGGAGCAATGTCCGCTAACTGACGAACAGTTGGTAGCAGGGTAAGACCGAATCATTCTAACCCACCTCTCTTTTCCCCTAGATCACCCCCTGTCCTTTTATTTTACCCTCTCTTTTCTGATTTTGTGCCCTGTATCGATCTCCACAAACCCCCGGTCTCTGTGCAGTTACTGTAAATGATACAGAAGATGAAGCAGTGCTTTTACAAAAACCGTCACATTAATTGTACGCTGATAATCAGAGCATGTAAACTTGGCAAATGAGGTTGAAATTCAAATCAAATGCAACAGTCATTTTAATTTTCATTGGTTTTTAAAAATCATGGTGGTGGTAAAGGTATATTGTTTATTAATTTAATTTTATTTTTTTTTTGGAAGTTAAAACCTGAAATTTTATCCCCTTTAAATACAGCATGAGTTACTTGGGTCAAACCAGCATGAGTTTGTCACATTTCTCATTCACACATCATTCACTTTTTTTCTACCCAGAAGCCTCTTCTTTTTCTTACCTGTCAGTAACTGAATAAGCTTTTTTTAATTTTTTTGTTAAACTATTGAATTATCTGAACCATTTTCACTTGTCTCAGCTGTTCTGGACGTGCTTCGTTTTTCACTGCATCTTTGCTTCATTATTCAAGGTTTTCTGATAGCATTCTGGCCACCATCCTGGCCACCAAGTCTGACATGTGTGGAAAGAAGTTTGAACTGAAGATAGACAACGTTCGGTTTGTGGGTCACCCTACTCTCCTGCAGCATTCTCCTCTCATTCAGGTAGAAATAAATTCAGTCTTCATCACCTTTATTAAAGTTTAATGTAGTGGGAAGCCTATGTCTCTATATGAGAAATGCATAGGTGCATCTTTTTTGCAGTTCAATTTTAATTAGGACTAGTTTTACATGTGATTGTAATTACTCATGTGGGTTTTTTCCATGGAAATGAGTTAATGCATCAACCTGAGTGCATTTCTAGTTTCCTTTAAAGTCTGACCTTACAATTCTGATGGGAGTTTTTTATTTGTTTATTAGAAATAATGGCCTTCAGGCTCCTTAATAAAGCAAACAGTATTGAATCCAATGCAAAATAAGACAGTTATAAGATTAGGCTATTTAATGCACAACTTACCTTCTTAAACAATATCTGATTTTCTTAAACTTGAAACCTGAACCTATAAAAACGTACAGTGGAATGAAAGGACTGGAAACCTTCCTTTTCCAAAGACCGTATGGTGTACAGTGTTCAGATGCATTTTTGATTTGTCCGCTTTTAGATCTTTCTATATTTTCTACCTTTATCTTATAGCGCCTTGAGATTGGAGAATGTAAAATGCAGTAAAGTTTCAACACATTACTATGATTATTATTACTATTAGTTACTAACCCTAACCCTTTTTAAAATTTGAGGGTGCATTACATTAGTTTTATGTATTAAAGGAAAGATTTGTCCTGATATTTTTTGCTGATCAGAGATCATTGAGAAAAGTTATTTAATTAAACTTAGCATCACTAATTTTAAGCTCTTTTATGCTCATTCCATAAATTAATGTTAGAGCCAGTTTACATAAACTAATGTTAAACAGAAGCACATTAAAGGTCTCACCCTGTAAGCTACAGATTCTGATTGTTTTATCGTCTAAATTCATTTAGCATTAAAGTTACAGTGTGTAATTTTCAGGGTAATCTGACAGTCAGACTGCAGCGACCCCTAGAAGGACTGTTCATTCTCCTGCATCCAGCACGGAGACCGTCCAGCTTCTCCCTTCTCTTATCCCGCTCCACCTCTCAGTCCTCCTGCAGGTTCCCATGATCCTTAGTGCTCCTTCTCCCACCTCTAGCAGTTAGCTTCTAGAGCCTAGCCTTTGCGTACTGTCATCTCTTCCTGCTCTGTCTACCTGGCGGGCACTCTGTCCTCCTCATGGTAAGCTGCAGCCACTCTCTTTCTGACTGAAGTACCAGATATTCTGCTGTTCTGCTTTGATCCTCCGCAGTTAAGGTTGATTTATACTTCGAAACTAGGTCGTCTGCGTAGGTGTCACAGTGAACGCAAAGATGTCTCCGCCCCCTCCGCAGACACTCTGCTGCACCTCTCCTAAATTGTAGGTGACCACAGACAGTGCTGCAGACAGGAGGCCTCTGGTCAAATCTACATCCGCTTCCCGGTTTGTTTTGTTTGTATTACCACAATTGCGATAAACAACCCGTTAAGTTGGACCAGATAGAAGAGCGATGTGCACAAGAACGCTGGGACCCTTTTTCCAACTGGATCCCCGCTCTTTTTCGCCCTCATGTCCCTCCGTTGTTGGACAAACTTGCCCCATTTCCTCACCGCCTCAGCTATATCTAGACCCACAGCTAGTTCATGATTGTACCTCTTGTGTTGTGGCGTGGAATATTACATAGCGCAGACCACGCTTCAAAATTGAGCATAAATCAAAAATGTCTGCGTCAAGCTCACTGCGACACACTGCTGCGGGGAGACAACTAGCCATTTAGCCACTATTTAGCCCAGGCCAGCTGTAGCCTTTCCCAGGCCTTCACCGTTCTGTTTCCCGGCAGGCCTCTCTGATCTACCGCTGTGCTCCTCATTTTTCTTCCTGAGAAAGCAGCTGCAATTTCCGCCTCTGTCTCTGTAGTTCCTTAGCCACATAGGGCTGTATAGGTGACCGTCTTGTCATGGTTCTAGAGCTCTCTCAGCAGCTGTTCTCAAACTGGGTCCCAACTGCTCCTGCCTGAGATCAGGAACGCTGTCTCCCCTTACCTCTGTTCTCATGTAGTTCCTCCCCCTGTTTTGGGCACTCTGACCAAAACAAACTTGGACCAAATGCAAGAGAAAGATGAGATTCCACTCAGAAAAAAAAACTCTCCAAGAACCAAGAACGCAACAACCCGTGCATGAAATCAGTTGTCTTCATAATGACCGACTCACAGCCAGTTTAAGTCAAGTTTACATAGATAATTTTATTAGTCTGTATAGGATTGTGTATAAGCCTCACTTCCCACAGTCCCATTCCAGCATAATAACAATATCTACAGTCACTAGTTTGTCAGCTTTGTGCTGCCATAGCTCAAAAGTTGCCTGCCTTCATAAATAACTTTTTCTAAGGCATAGCAAACAAAACGATTGAGAATTTCAGTTCATATGTGATCATAAATAGCATATATGGATAATATATAACATTTATGTCAGTAAGTCCCGGTAATTATTATACACTGTACCTTTAACTTTGCATCATAGGAGTTAAGGAAAGGCCTTAATGTGTTCATTGTAGACTTTTGTTTTATTTATTTTATTTGATTTCTTTTCATCGGGCCTTTGTAAGTTAAAACAATCTAAACACTCTCTAGATAAAAACAGTTTGTCATTAATCAGTTTGTTCTATTTTTCTTATTCCTTGAGTTCTTGTAGTTTAAATATAATATAATATTTATTTGCCATGCCTTATTTATCAGATCAGAGTACGGTGTACTTCTTTAATGAAAAACCTGAATAAAAATAAAATTCCAATATATACATGACAGGGTGGTTAGGGAAATAAAAACAGTTCCTGTATTTAGATTAAATTCAATTTTTGTTTGTTTTGCTATATTTCAGAATTGAGATAAATATATTCCCAATTCTAATTCTGCAATACAACCAAGAAAACTGTCTTCCATTATATTAGTTTTAAATGTGATTATAGTGATTTTTTTTATTTCTATGTCACCAAATTGAAATATTTTTCACTAGTAGGTTTCAGTGAGAACTTTTACTCATTTTGCAATAAATATACTTTGGGTATTGTCAGATCAATCCTGATATCATCAGCGCCCCCTACTGTAGCAATTTGGTCAATCATTTAGCCTGTGTTGCTGAGGTGTTTACTGATAGAATAGAATAGAATAGAATAGAATAGAATAGAATAGAATAGAAAATCCCTTTATTGTTCCACAATGGGGAAATTGTGGTGTTACAGCAGCAAAAGATTACAACAAAACTGATCACACAAATGGGGACCTGAACAAAAGTGTATAAAAATAACAGAATAAGTGACAGAGTGGCAACAAAAAAGGCAAACTAAAAAAAGCTTAGAGAGTTTCTATAGGTTGACATTATTATGATTTATTTTGTGCATATGGAAAACTTGCCACATAGAATATAGATCTATAGGCTTTGACTGAAAGCGTTTCATTACTATAATAAGAAATAATATGAAAATAAGATGGAAATATTTTTGTTATTAATCTCCAGCAGCTCTGGTAGACTTTTTTATGTTAACAAAAAAAAAAGAAAAACGATCTATTTATAATTTTAAAGTCAAGAAAAAAGATGCCCCATGATTCCTCTTTTTTTTTTTTTTTTTTTTGTTAAATAAATATAATTTACTTTGTTCCTCACTTTCAATTTTTATTTTTCAGAATTTTACTGTTTGAGATAAGTAATTAACCTCAAATAGTAAAAGTAACATTAGTAAAATTGTGTTAACGTAAACTTTAGCAATTGCTCTGAAAAACAAGTATTTTCTTTTGGAAATTCTTAACTTGTTGCAACCTTTAAATATTTGGTCTTTCATCATTCCAGGTGTCCAAAACAGATCCTTCACCCAAGAGAGAAATGCCTACTATGATCTTATTTAATGTGGTTTTTGCCCTGAGGGTAAGAAACTCTTTATTGGACGTTTTTAAACAAATGTAATTGGGTTTGTAAATGAAAATGAAATGTAACTTATATTTTAGTTTTTAAATGTTCTTGTGTTTTTTTTTTTCAGTTATTTTTTTGAACATGTTAGCCGGCTGTGGGTGGGTGGGTCATGTTTAGTAAGTCTTCTGGTAATCTGTATTCTTTGAATGGGAGGTGGGCAGGGTTGTGATAACGATGCACTATCAGTGAAAGCATGTGAACTCGAGGAGAGTTGCAGTTTATTTTTGCTTAATCATGCTGCTCAACAAGGCCCAGCCCAGTTCCAGCCCATGCTGAGTCATGGTTCTCAGGAAGGCTCAGAGGAGCAAGAAATGCATCGTCAGGTTTGAAACATATCTGGCAAGCTGCTAAACTAACTATGTTGTTAACACCTGTAAAATACATAAAGGTTCTTTATAATACTTTTAAATACTCTTCTTGTTAGGTGTACTTTAATGTGAAATGTCTTTTATTGTTACTGGCCTTTAAACCCAAAAAAGGGTTTCCAGTTTATCTGAGTAACACAATTAAGGAGTTAGGAAGAAAACAAAACATATTCATTGTCATTTGCAACCTCAGGCAAATGCTGACCCATCTGTAATCAGCTGCATGCACAACCTTTCCCGGCGCATCGCTATAGCGCTTCAGCATGAGGAGCGCCGCTGCCAGTACCTAACCAGAGAAGCCAAGCTGATGCTGGCCATGCAAGACGAGATCACCACTATGACTGAGAGTGAGATTTTCTCTGTGCACAGATTATCTCATTCAATTTCCAGTTTTAAAGTATTAATTGTGTTCTTTTCAATCATGGCTTTAACTGTGCCTCTTCTCTGTTGTTAGCAGATGGAACTCCTCAGTCCCCATTTAGGCAAATTCTTCCTAAATGTAAGTTAGCCAGGGACTTGAAGGAAGCCTATGACAGGTGGGAAGGAAATGTAATGTCTGCCTGATACTTTTCTAGACTTTAAACAGAATCATGAAGCTGATTTTTATATTCATGATTTTCCAGCCTTTGTACAAGTGGTGTGGTAAGGCTACACATCAATGACTGGCTAGAGGTCAGCTTCTGCTTACCTCACAAGATCCACAGGGTTGGTGGTAACTATATCCCTCCGGAGGCATTAGAGCGTAGTCTGAAGGCCATAAGGTAGATTTATTCTTTCATACATTCTGTGTTTTATTTCTTTTAATATAATTTCATATGATGTTACATAGTGAAATTGATCTGCACCAAATAAAGCTGAATATTATTGTAGAGCTTCAAATGACTAAGCAAACACTCCCCCCTCCTTTAAACACACTCCTCCTTCTATATTAAAAATAAACACATTTAGTAAAACTATGCTCTTTATTACTGTCATCGGATTTGTTTTTTATTTTGAAAATATCTGCATTTTAGGAAGTAGAAATCTGTTCTCAAACAGAATTGGTTTTAAGTGGCACCAAACACAATATGACTTTTTTAGGATACGGTAAACTCATTTTATATTTTTATTTTATTACATCTATACTTAAACACGCCACAAGCTGACCCACTAATGCAAAATCTACTAAATAACACATCATGTTCTGATCCTTGCAATGTTTCTTACCCAAATAATGAAGCTTTTTTTTTTTTTTTTTTTAGTAAAAGTTAATATTTTTCCGTCATGATCAAAATGTGCTGCATTTTCTAACATTTACTCATTGAAATGTTTCCTGTGGGACACACTGCCACCTAGAGGCAGTTTATAAAACACCCTCTTGTTCATATCTCCTTATATTTTGTCTTTTAGAATAAAAAAAGTAGATTTTTCCTTCTTGTGTTTGTGGAGGGTTTATTCAGATTCTATTACCCGCAGGCCTTATCATGCCCTGCTGCTGCTCGAATGCGAGAAGGCGCTGTTGAGCCAGCTTCCTCTAGACTGCTCACCTGCAATGGTGCGTCTGATTAAGACCTGTTCAGCAGTGAAAAACCTGCAGCAGCTCGCCCAAGATGCTGACCTGGCCCTACTTCAGGTGCAGAACAAACACACAGCCCACAAAGCTCTGATATCATTCTTTAACATTTTAAGGCTTGTCTATAATCTAGAACTGATTAAAGGAATAGAAATCATTACAGTAAACACATCAATACAATGCATCATTTAGAATAAATTTAATAGAATAAAAAATATAAATATGTTTTTCTCAAATGTAATTTATAAAAAGTTCAGCCAGCATGGGTTCCATTTTTAGCTACTTACTGTCACCTAGTGGATAATATATGAACTGCAAGACATTGATACTAGCATTTTCTTTCAGGATCACTCTTTTAGCATTCAGGATTTTCAATCTGACTTATTTTTTTTATCATTATGGATGGATCACTCTTTTTTTTTTCTCTCTCGCTCAGATCTTTCAGATTGCTGCTCATTTAGTTTATTGGGGCAAGGCAATCATCATCTTTCCATTGTGTGAAAATAACGTCTACATGCTTTCTCCTCATGCCAACATATCTATGTAAGTATGTAAAATATATCCTAAAGAAGTGGTCAAACATAATAGAAAAGGGCATATTTGAAGTGCTTTAAGAACAGGAAAACGTATTCCCTGCCTAGTCGACTTTGTTTTTAGATGCCTCTCTTGTTAATTGACTGACAGTACTCCTCCTCAGGCTTATGTGACTCATCTCAAAGCGTGTTTGAAGTGTGCATGTATTATGCAGGAACTAAGCTAGAGGAGAAGCTTTGTGATGAATAACAGCGCTTCTTATTCCTCTCTGACCAGATATTCTCCTTTGGCGGAGCAGTTTGCTCAGCAGTTCTCTGGACACGATCTGCCTTCCATGTTGGCCAAATTCTCACTCCCAGTCTCACTAGCAGAATTCAGAAACCCTCTGGAAGCTCCAGCACAGGAGGTAAGCTAGTGGCAAAAAAAACAAAACTTAAAAAATGGTACAAAAAATCACAGCTTTGTAAAATATGCAGAGAGATGTTTTTTTTTTTTTAAACATGTTTTTATACTTTATGACAAGGTCTGTTTCCATTTCAGAAAGAATTAGAAAAAGGCCATTACCGTGTTACCCATACCCTCAGACTAAATGGACACCATGATTTTAGGGGCTACTGGTCTGTTAGTTTTTACTTTTAGCTCCATTGCAATTTATGGAGACAGTGGGCTGCTTGTTTTTTGCTTGTCTTTCCTCAACACACATAATTTAAACAGATGAATCCTTTCAGCAACAAAAATGCGCCATCTGTGGGCCATTGTGAAGAATGCAGGTTTAAAATACCCAGAATGTCATAGTTTTATTTTTGATTTGTGATATGCTGATAACTGATTCAAGGATTGTGATAGTTCACTGTTGGATTGTTTTGGTTTATTGTCGTTTACATATAATAAATAGCATTTATATGAATGTTGTTTACAACACTGAAGAGACTACCCTGCACACATAAACTCTCTCATTCCTACGGGTAATTCAGAGACTAGCTAATCTCACAGTCATGTTTTGGGACTGGAAGGAAGCATGTGTACCAGAAGATCAGACCTTCATGTAGGAAGAGCTCAGGTCTGAGGAAATCTATGACCTTCTTGCTGCGAGGCTACAATGCTACAATATGGGCCACCAGGCAGCTTATTTTTCAATATTAATATTAGAGAATTTAGGTCATTTAAGATTTCACTAAAATTTGGTCTTTTGTAAATGATGGGAAATCTGATGCACGCATTACAAGAGGTTTAAGTTGTATGAATTGCTAAAGCGCCTTTCCTACTATTCTTAGCTCCTTTTGTTTTTATTGGATCATTATCCAAATTTTGGCTGCTTTGAGGTTGTATTCTATCAAACGTTTATTACCAAAGTGCTCTGCTTTATCTCCTATCTAGGTTCAGCTGATCCAGATGGTGGTGTGGATGCTCCAGCGCCGCCTGCTCATCCAACTCCACACCTATGTTTGCCTTTTGATACCGCCAAGTGAAGATGAGCCTGCACTGAAGGAGGAGGAGCTACCACTGGCTACCCGTGTCGGAGGCCGCAGTCTAAGCACCCCAAGCGCTCTCAGTTTTGGTTCACCAAGTAAGACCCCACCCCCCACTCTACTCTCACAGATAGATAAAAGGTCAAAGGAGCCACTGACTGTCCATGTCCTTCCTGTTTGCAGCCAGCAGTGACGACATGACCCTAACAAGTCCCAGTATGGAGAATTCCAGCGCTGAGCTGCTGCCTGGCGGAGACTCTCCTTTGAATAAAAGGATGACGGAAACACTTCTCACGAGCCTGTCGGAGCATGAAAGGCAGGTTATACTTAACATCCCAGCGGCACAAAATCCAGAGGATCTGCGAATGTTTGCCAGGTATTTAAGCTTGACTTGCACATTTTTAACCTCATAAATGTGTCCTAATTTAGCCAATTCTCTGATGTAAATGTATATTAAAGACACTTATTTTACATTTTACTCACTATAAACTTCTTTTTTGTCCTGCCTGTACAGATTTTATGTCTACATGCAGTGAGAAAAATAAGTATATGAACACCCTGATTTTGCAAGTTCTCCAACTTAGAAATCATGGAGGGATCTGAAATTGTCATCGTAGATGCATGTCCAAAATTCTGAAATCACAATATATGATTTTTTTTAACCATTTATTTGTATGATACAGCTACAAGTAAGTATTTGAATACCTATCTATCGGCTATAATTCTGACCTTCAAAGACCTGTTAGTGTGCCTTCAAAATGTCCACCTTCATTCCATTTATCCTAAATTAGATGCACCTGTTTAAGGTTGTTAGCTGCCTAAGTACACCCATCCAATCTCACACAATCAGTAAGAGTGTAACTACTAACATGACCAAGACCAAAGAGCTGTCCACAGACACTAGAGACAGTTAGAAGATTGAAGATGGGTGGAGTCTGGGTCTTCCAACATCACAATGAGCTGAAGCACACAGCCAGGATAACCAAGGAATGGCTCTGGAAGAAGCATTTCAAGATTCTGGTGTGGCCTAGATGGTTCTAGGCCTGAACCCAATAGAAAATCTTTGAAGGGAGCTCCAACTCTGTGTTTCTCAGCGACATCCCAGAAACCTGACTGATCTACAGAAGATCTGTGTGGAGGAGTGGGCCAAAATCCCTCCTGCAGTGTGCGCAAACCTGGTGAAAAACTACAGGAAACGTTTGACCCCTGGAAATGCAAACAAAGACTACTGTACCAAATATTAACATAGATTTGTTTAGGTGTTCTAATACTTATTTGCAGCTGTATCATACAAATAAATTAAGAAAATCATACATTTTGAGTTTTTTTTTTTTTTTTTTTAGATTACCGTATGTCTCTCACAGTGGACATGCATCTGTGATGACGATTTCAGACCCCTCCATAATTTCTAAGAGGGAGAACTTGCAAAATAACAGGGTGTTCAAATACTTATTTTCCTCAATGTATCTCACACAAGATGACAGTCTTATTTTGCAAGAGCCTGCTAACTACAGCTGATTGTAAAAAAGCACTAGAGCTTATTGTATTAGAATTCTTGTTTCCTCCACTGCTTTTTAGGCTGCTGCACTATTTTCGGGGACATCACCACCTGGAGGAAATCATGTACAATGAAAACATGAGGCGATCACAGCTGAAGACACTATTCGACAAGTTCCGCAGCGTCCTCATTGTTACAAACCATGAAGACCCCATTATTTCAATCTTTCAGTCACCAATGGAGCAGACTATATGAGCGCCGGCAACCTGGAAACTATCACTGTTTTAGAGTCGGTTAATCTGAAACCTGCTCAGGACCAAGGAGGGTTTATAGCAAAATGATGGCATTAATGTGCAGTTTCAAAATATAGACTATTTTCCCCTTTGAGCCAAAATTTGTTTACAATGTTAAGTTATTTTATACTTACCAGACATGCCTTATGGGTTCACTGTGAATAGGGGAAGGACTGATGTACCGGGAGACTGACACACTCTCCCAAATTCAAAGTAAAAGGATCCATGTTGGCTTCATAAGTGCACACCAAGCACTGATCGTTCCAGCTACCTCTGTTAAGGAATCCCAAAGGTGGAGATGGAAAGAGTGCAAAGAAAAGATGGAGGCTCAACATCAGTGAGCCATACAGACATCTGTAAAAATCACTGAGAGGAACATTTCCCATGTGAGAATGCTTATTGGAAAACAGATGGAACTACAGGAGACCGACTGCTGTATGTTGTTTAGTTATTTTTTTAATAACTGTCTGCCAGTTCTAATCTTTTACCTTACTGTACAACTTTAATTCAATAACCTGCATTTCAAAATAAACGTACAAATTCAAGCTTTTGTTAAATTAATTCGATAAATGATGATGTATGTAGCATATGGTTGACAAGTGGTTGATTTGTAAAAAAGGGACAGAAAAGAAAACTCCCAAAGTCCTTTTTTAAAGTTAAATTTCTTTCTGTTTTTTCTCTACACATCTCATGAGTCTGAACTGTTGGTTCCATTTCCATACAGAGAGCATCTCTCTGCCTCTTTATTCACAACACTAACGCAGGGGTGCCCACGGAGGTAAAAGCGCCATGGTTTCTTCGCCCATTCCCCATGGGACTCGATACCGATGCGTGGAGCTGAAACTATATCCTTAGGTTTTGGGGGACTTGTGTTTTGATCGGCCTCCAGCCACACCTCTGGGTCAGAAGCCAAGTCTCTACGGTCAAAACAGCGAGGTATATTTAGAGCCTGGCACAGCTTGGAAGGGCCGTTGCACAACTCTTTGTCCTTCAGCTGGCGGGCTCCGTCTTTTCGTCTAGCCGTTCTCAGCTCCCTCATTGCAGACTGGCCCTGCAAAGGCTCCAGAGAACGCAGCAGCACGGCAGCACCCTCCCCTGAATAAACACAGCACACAATCTGCATCGGTCAGCAAGGCTCTGCTTTGTTTCCTTCCTTTTTTCTCTACTAATGAAAACCAAAACCAGCTGACTTGCTTTATTATTAGATAAATAGGGTTGACCTAAATACAAGCCTTTTCACATCATAATCATATTCAGACATCAAGAATAAGATAAATATGAAGCACTACTAGTGTGTATTGAACAAACCTTCACTGGAAACATTCATGCAGAGGTAGATCCCATAGATTGGATACACATAAATAGTGCCTGGCTTCATGAACATGGCAGTGTTCCTCTCTGTGCGTTTGCCCCCCGCTGAGTGTGAGGCTTTGTCCTCCCCTCCAAGATATGCTTCAGTTTCCACTATTCTCCCTCGGAGCTCAGAGCCATCTGCACACTTGCGGACCAGCACCTGCAGGGAAAATTTTTATTTCTCATTGGATAGTTTTTATTAAATAAATCAGCTGTTTTTATGCAGTTTTTCACCTTCAATAATCATGCATTTAAAGATGTATGGAAAAAAAAGTTATTCCTTGTTAGAATTAAATTGAGATATGTATTATAAGGCCCTGCGAAAGACTGACGACCTATCCAGGATGTATCCCGCCTATCGGCCATTGACAGCTGGAGATTCCAGCACCCCTCACAACCCCAATTGGGATAACCGTGGCGGAAAATTGATGGATGTATTATAAGTTTTATGGAAATTTCATTTTGAGCATGGATCATGCAGTTTAGGATTAACTAGTAAATGCCCCTATGCTGCTTGCAAATACAACAAATTGAGGCTGTGTAACAGTAAGCTAAAATATTAGTTTAAAGTATTTCTTAACCTTACATAGCCTGGATAAGACTTTTTTTTTAATGCACAACCTGGAGATTGTATTTTTTGCTTGTTCTCTCATGTTTTCCACTCTGAATTACATGCAAAGTTCCACCTTATTCTGCAGGAACTTTAAAATAATTTAGTAAAAGGTTGTGTTCTCCCTCTGGACTATCTATTGTGGGGTAGCATGGAGCTTGCACTATAGGGTAACATTTGTTTCCAGGGGCAGATTTAAAGAGGTGGCCAGGGGGGCCATGGCCAATCATTGGCAACCCCTACCAGGTGATTTGTTGTTCCTCTTGGGATTTAATTCAATACCCATTGTAAAAGCAGTTCTCCTCTAAGGCTGATGGAGGCAGCAGTGAAATCATCATGTGAAATTTCCTGCTTTTACATTAACGCTGGAATATTAACCAAATTATTAATTTTAAAAATGCATTAAAAAAAACCCTCACAACAATACAAGCAACTCTAAATAAAAATGACTAATAAATAATTCTTGCTCTTTTATGAATTAGTGTTAAGATTTTATAGGTGGAAAGTTTGTCTCTGCAGTCACCTAGGAGTAGGGGTGCTAGAGTCTAGTCCTCAAGAGCTACCATCCTGTTAGGTTTAGATGAATCTCTTCTCTAACACACCCGAGTCTAAAGGCTCAACCCCCTTATTAAGCTCAGCAGAGTCATGGTAACGAGCCACTCATTTGATTCAGGTGTGTTAAAAATGGGGTGCATCAAAGGCTACGTTCACACTGCAGGCCTTGATGCTCAATTCCGACTTTTTTTTTTTTTGAGAAATCCGTTTTTTTGCGTTGCCGTTCATATTTACAAATATATGCGACTTGTATGTGGTCTCCTGTGTAAACTGCATTCATACAGCTTACGTGTCCCCTGTGCGCAGTAGAGGACACAATGACGTCACAAGCCAGCATTGGTGTTTACGGAAGTAAACATGGATGTAGTGCTGGGGCGCATCTAGTGATCTTTCCAAACCTTTAAAGCTCAATCTTTTCAAGATGGTCAAAAAAATACAGCTCTCTGCATCATCGTCCGCCATGGCATTCAGATCGGATGAATGCGACCTGGCCGTTCAGACACAGGTCGCATTTGAAAAGATCAGATTCATATGGGATCCAGGACCACAGAGCCAAGTGGCCTGGGTCAGATTGGAAAAAATTGGATCTGTGTTGTTCAGACAGCCATGAAAACATCAGATCCAAGTCGCATGTGGGCAAAAAAATGTGTCACTTCAGGCTGCAGTGTGAACGTAGCCAAAACGTTACAGGAAAGTAGCTCTTGAGGACTGGACTTGAGCACCCCTGCCTAGGAGTCTTCTCGAGAGTTAAAGAATACTTCGCAACCCATTTAATGTACGGTATATATTATGTAGAACCATAAATTAATTTAAATGCCACTAATGTATAATATGCATATAGCTGTATCAGAATTGATCCTAATGAAAATCTGGTCTGCAGTGATTTATTTGGAAAACATAGATGCTGTGTTGTTCATTTTTCTCCTGGTTTATTTTGATCAGTATAGATTGACCATGAGACGTTTTTAGCACCCATCAGTGCATACTACAGAAATATTTTCTGTTATCACCACTGGTCAGGTACTGTGTTAATGTGCCCCCCTTCCCGGAAATCCCTTAGCCACCCCACTAAAATTTCCTACAACCGCCACTGTTGGTTTCACATTGTAGTTTCAATTCCATTTTGACTCACAAAAAATTCATTCTTCGCCTAGATACTCTTAATGCTTCATAAAGACAGAGGACAATAATAAAATGTGAATCAGGTTTAATGAATACCTTGCCGAGGAATGCTTTAGCCAAACTGATGCAAGGCTGATTGAAAAAGTCCTGCTCCAGTCTGCGCTGAGGCTCGGTGCTGAAATAACGGCTTTGCTCCGGTTCGAAACCTCGAACAGATTCGATCGGTACCGGTTCGGCAGAAGCTCTGCAGCTCGGTTCGGTCCGTTTTCTCTGTAACAACAAACCCGTCTCTCTAAGTGCAGCAGCGGAAGTTATATCTTGGACCTTCCTTTTCCTTCCTGCCATAATCTCTGTTCATATTACAGCGAGTTTAAATATTTATAAGATACCGGTGTTTATTTACTAATTTTTCAGGAATAAATAAAAAAAATATTTTAGCGTTGGTTGCTCTGGTATCGCGAGATCCAGCATACAGGAAGTGAATGTGTTTCTTAAAGGGACCGCGCTGTAATTTAGGTCAACGTGTGGAGTGAAATGAAGCTTTTTTCTGGGATCTGAATCATTTGGTTCAGTTCACCTTTAAAACTTATTTGGCTAGTATAAAAGACTTCTTTGGCTTTCAAAGAACTTGAGCTACGTTCGTCTATTTTATTTTATTTTTTATTTTTTGTGGCCTTGTATGCATGTGTAGAATGCAGTTGGGCAATTTATGAGAGGACATTTAGAAGTTTTTTTTTTTAATGGGCACAAAATGATGGCAGATAATAAAATATTTTAATAATAAAGAGAGTATATGAAAAAAAAAGAATAAAACGTTGATTAAATAATGAGTGTCAAACAATTTCAAAGTGACAAAATATATTCACACCAAAATCTTTGGATTGTGCCAGAGAAGGTTTCTGTGCTAAAAACAAAAGCGAGAAACACAGCTAGATTAAATGAAAGCACACCATAGACCGTATGATGGTGTCAAAGTTACAAAGACTGAAACATTTGTATGTTCTTACTATCTCGATTTAAATGTTCTTACTAAGTGGATCCAGTCCCAATACTTATTTTTTGATTTTTCCTTTCTTATAACATTAGCAGGTATGGGTTATATTTAAAAGAGAGCAGCTTAAGAGAGCACATATGTTTTTATGAAAGATTATCTTCTTCATTATTTTACACAATTTTTGTTGAAATAATTAAATATGGTTCAAAGTTAAAAAATCCCAAACCCTGACAAAGAAGCTATTCAGTTTTAAGCCTGATCAAGGAAGTAATTCTTATGAAAGAAGGACTTGCACAATACTGTGTAGAATACCCGTGCAATAATTTTAATCATTTGTTGTTTTAATTTTTATTAAGAAAAAATATCTGACAGCAGGGTTGATGAGATGTTAGTAAGTTATTGTATATAAATATTTTTTCAACGAATAAACACACCCACACACACTCTTGTCTTGCTATATGTAGTGAGGACCATGTGTTGACTGCTATTGACTTCCATTGATTTTCAGTCATTTTCAACCCTTTCTATTCAGGATACATCAAAATAAGCCTAAACCTAAAGGTTACAAAGACATACCTAACCCTAACCCTAACCCAACAGACAACTTAATTATTAGCAATAACCTTATGAGAACCAGCCAAATGTACCGTGGTGAGATTAGAAAAATGGTCCTCACTCTGATGCCTAAACAGCAGCAGCACACAGACACACACAAAAAAAATAAGAAGCCTCAATTCATTTGCCACAAACTTGACAAATATACAAAAATCTAAGTACATAACACATATAGGCTACAGATAACTGTCTGCATATGCCTTCAATCTCAGTTCTTTCTGCTTATAAACCAAGGTAAGTTTTAATCTTATTTTTAACCAGATGGTAAAACCCTAGTTTTACCCATTTAAAGAGGAACTTACTCTTATTTTTCATTGAATAACTTGAGCACATCAAGCTGATTTAGGTGTAAATATAAGATCATTATGTCACTTATGGTGCAATCTAGTGTCCACTTTGAAATTTCCAGTTTTGAGGAAAAAAAAAAAGAAAGAAATGAAGTCATACTTCCAGCACTTTTACAGTTTCTTCCAGCTGAGGACTGTCATGTTTTTTTTTTATTTTTTCCTGTTTCATTTGACTAATGACAGGATAAAAATAGAGCACGTCCCCTGCTGCCTGCATCTAGGAAGTGGACGGCGCCTGTTTGGCCCCAAGCAGTGTGGATCCATGTGGCTCTCAGGAACGCTAATTGTGTGTGACATGATTGTGCCACAGAGTTAGGTCTCAAGGGAAGTAAAATGGTGGAAGCAAAGAGTTGAAGAAAGTTTGCATTTAAATAAAATAGAAATAAATATTTAAGATAGCTTTTTTTAGGTATATAATGAAGGATGGGCACAAATAAAATTTAATTTGGGTTAAATTATTTCAAATTATCCAAACACGTTATGAATCATAAATTATACTTTTAAATTAACACCATAAGACTGGTGCAGCATTTCACAGCAGCAATATTCTAAAATATACAACCTCTCCCACCTCTGTAGATTTCAAGTTCAAGTTTCAGAAATAGTTTCTCGCCTTATGAATTTTAACACCACAGCAGAAGCTGTAAACCACAGTGACATTCTTATAGCCTCCCTGTTGTTAGTAATGTTTCTTTGCCTGCCAATCTAAATAATGACAGCACACTGCTAAAGATCCACTTGAACCAAATTAGCTTGTTTTCCTACATTTTTAGAAAAAATGTTAGAAATATTTCAATTTTCGGGCATGCAGGTGCGCAGTGTTCATGTGCATGGTCCACATATTGCGGCTGACCTGGGTTCGAATCAGACTTATGGTCCTTTGCCGCATGTCTCTACCCCTCTCATACCCCCTTTCCTGTCAGCCTACTTTCGAAAAAATGAACCACTAGTGCCGTAGAAAACTCAAAGAAAGAAATATTTAAATTTTCTTTCTCAAAATAAATAATTCAAAATCCTTTCTGTTTTTTATAACTGCTTTCCAAAGTAGAGACAGAAAACTACCATAAGCAGATCATAAAATATTATAGAACATTTACAAGCTTGGATATTCTACTTGTATGTAATCCCATATCACTTTTGCTTTCCAATTAATGTTTACTTATCAGAGTGAGATTTCTGAGATGTTTGAAAACATGAAAAGGTTATATTTATGTTTTATTTTTCGGAGATAGTGAGTAATGTTATTCAGATATTCATTAAAATGGAAAGAATTTCAAAGCACTTCAGTTTAAAAAAGATTACAAAGAAATGCATGGAGGTTATAAAGATAGTTTCCAAAAGTAAAATGCTAAGCATGTCATGTACAAGAATTTTCACACAGATTGTTGACTTTGTTCAGGCTGTTAGACTAGTGAAGGCCAGTGTTTCCATCGCCCGTCAGCAACTCATTGTTGCTGCCACTGATAATCTTAGCAGAAGTGTTTTGGCAAACCCTTTAGGCATTCTGTTTTGCTTTTATCTCCTGCAGGCTCCTCATTGGTTGTGACGCAGGGCAGAAACTCCAGAAAATCATCTGTCTGTGCAGATGGACTAACAGAATGCTTCCCAGCTAAGAATATCCTAGTAGAGCGTAAGTCAGAGATAAGAAGAAACACAAATGTAGTCGGATCTATAGAGCTTATTGATAATGGGCAATATGAATTTTAGGCAAACTTATCATTTTAGATTAGTTAAAACTTATATTTTAATTAGGAAGAGGTAGGAATATATCTATATCTATTTATATATATATATATATATATATATATATATATATATATATATATATATATATATATATATATACATATATATATACATTCTATAATATGTTTACTAATCATCCGTTGATCTATTAGTTATTTTGTATATCCTTAAAAATCAGTTACTTTTTCTTTTAAATTATTACCATGCTTGTCTAGCACGAAGTAAACGGAAACTCTGGTGCCAAAATGTCTTTTGATGTCAGATCAACCCTTTTAAAATGGTTGCATGTGTGTTCGATTTAATCAATAGTTTTTTTTCTTTTGCAAAACAACTTGGAGTATAAAATTAATAATTAGTTTTGGGTTTTTTATCTGGACACTAATTAGCTTTCATTGTTATTCCTATTGATGAAAAAAATAAAAAATAAATAAGTGGACTGGTGATTGTTTTTCTGTGTCTTCCTTATTTTTTTTTTTATTTTTTTATTTATCCTTTATTTAACCAGGTAATACCCATTGAGATTAAAAATCTCTTTTGCAAGGGAGACCTGGCCAAGATAGGCATCAAAATTACATCACATCATTACATACGTATAAAAGACACACACATAAAAGCCAAATATGCACTTACAATAAAATTTCAATTAAAACATTGACATGTGAGGGAGTCTAACTCAAAACATCTAATTCTCAACTTAAAAGTATTCAAAGGAACCAATTTACTAAGTTTCATGTTATTTTGCAGCAAATTCCATGTAAAGGGAGCAGAGTAAGCAAAGGCCTTTTTACCCAGCTCAGTACTGACACGTGGGACCGAAAACAAGACAACAGCCTGAGAACGGAGAGAGTAATGACCAGTACTTTTTTTCATAAGAAGTGAACATAAATAAGATGGAAGCGCACCAAGAATAGCCTTATATATAAATATATACCAATGACAAAGCCTCCGTGTAGCCAAGGCAGACCACCCTACACGAGAATACAGCTCACAGTGATGGGTGCGAGCTTTACAATTAGTAATAAATCTCAATGATGCGTGATAGGCTGCGTCAATCATCTGCAGGCATTGAGCAGATGAATGCATATATAATATATCACCATAGTCCAGCACAGTTAAAAAAGTGGATGCCACCAACCGTTTTTTTACATTAAAAGAAAAGCACAGCTTATTTCGAAAGTAAAAACCCAATTTTAGTCTCAACTTTCTCACTAGACAGTGAACATGAGGCTTAAATGATAGGTTGTCATCAATGACAATACCAAGATACTTATAAGTTGAAACTATCTGTATTTCACGACCATCAAGAGTAACCACTGAAGGAACATTCAGTGACCTGTTCCGAAGGTCTGTGAAAAGCATACATTTAGTTTTTTCTGCATTGAGCACAAGTTTCAACTGTAGCAAAGTATTTTGGACCACATTAAAAGCATTCTGTAAGTGTGCAATGGCTTGTTTAAGAGAAGGTGCACAGCAGTAAATAACTGTATCATCTGCATAAAAATGAAAATTTGCATCAGACACATGCCGATTAAGATCATTTACCATATATAAATAGTAAATAAAAGAGGGCCTAATACAGAGCCTTGTGGAACCCCTTATGCATTGGAGGTCTGAATGTGTTGCATCCACACAAATAAAGAACCAAATTTTTGTGGGCTACTTGTTCTCAAGAGCATGTTGCAGCCCAGGGGCCAATTATATGAAAAATAATTAATAATTAATCATAATTAATAATTCAAGACCCCCTTTCGTTGTTTAC